ATATATATATATGTATGTATGTATGTATTTGCCGTTATAATATGTAATATTAGAATATCACTGCATCTTAGTACAGGTAGTAATTAATTGAAATACGACGTCACAGGGTGCCGATTATTTATAATCTTGATGCCAACTAAGTCGCTATCATTCATTAACTTTGAACTATTTTTTTCAAAATATGTATTCTTACCAGAAGAAAATGTTTGTTGAGACACTTGTCACTTCGTTCCTCGTCATCTGTGCTAACTAAATTCCATTTTCAAAAAACATTGAATTAACTGATCATAATGACGCCATCGTGGCAGGCAACTGCCATTTTATTTTGAATTAAAAAAGCAAACAAACAAACGATTATTGCTATTAAACGCAGAGTGACATATTAATAAAGAGAAGGCAGGAAGCAACATTTTGCTTGAATCAACGTTTTCAGCGTGGAACGGAAGTGACGTAATCTGGTAAAATTTCATTACCTCCATACGGAAAAAAGCAGGCAGCTTCTTCTTCTTCTTCTTCTTCTTCTTCTTCTTCTTCTGTAATAATGGTTACAGGTATCCATTTGTATTCTTTCACAGTTAGAAAAAAATAATCAAACAATTTCAACCTTCTTTCTGCTAATTTTTTTCTAGTCCTTTTTCTTTACTGAATTCAAAAAATGATTTTATTTGCATTTCGTACATTATATTTTCCTCTGTTTTGTTCAAATTTTTCTTTTCATATATTTGTTTTAATATATCTTCTCTTAAACGCCTTCACATAGAATCAATAACCAGTTCCTTCTTCATTTTTAGACTGAATCATTTATGGCAAAATTGGACCTTCGTGCCACCAAAGAAAAACAAAACAAAAAAAAAACAAACAAACAAAAAAAAAAAAAGAACGAAAAAAAACCGGACTGTCAAAACGACGGATTTTCCCTTGATACCGCCATTATTTTAACTACCGGCAACGTTCTTTTTCTTTTTTTCTTTTTTAAAAAAAAAAAAAAAAAAAAAACGATGATTAGAATTGTAAAAACCTTAACATATGACGAAAGTGAATTTATAAATTTTATTTGTTCTTAAGAATAGAAAACAAAAATAAACACTATTTATTAGATTGTTTTTTTTTGGGGGGGGTCAAGCATTTCACCCCTAGCAAGGCGGGAAGCCACTAGCACGCAAGAGGTTACAGAGGATTTGGAGCGAGAGAAGATACGAGTGATAGAGGAAAGACTGTGGAGAAGGATAGTGGATAGATCAAGGCAACTGGAGATGTCGATTTGAATAGCTGGAGATTATAGCTCTTAGGGAAACTGGAATAGGGAAGGGAGTTCCACAGGCGAGAGGTACGAGATATGAAGCTATTGGAGTAGAAGAGACGGCTACATTTAACAGTTTCAACAGTGAAAGGGTGAGAGCGGGATGCCAGCCTCGTAGGGCGCTTGAACTCATGATGTCTGGGAACCAGCGAAAGCAGCTCATCGGAGCAATTACCATGAAAGTATTTGTAAAAAAGACAGAGGGAGGCGACGGCCCGTCTGTGAGAGCGCGACTGCAGACTAGAGCCCAGATCAGGGCCAATTACATTGCATATCCGTCTCTTGATTTTATCAAGGACCTTGAGACAAACATAAGGGCCACCAGACCATATATGTCAGCAATACTCCATGCAAGGGCGAATGGTTGATTTGTAGATTTGAAGGATCGACTCCGGCGAGAAAAATTTCCTGGGGCGGCGCAGGGAGCCAACTTTCCTTGCGGTGGACGAAGCTATTGACTCAATGTATTTATTTATTTACCCTATTTATTTACTAATGTACCCGTGTCGTCAAAATTGATGCCAAGAAGGAATGTATTGTAAGTAATATGTATTATATTGTAAGTAATTTTCGTTTAATCCAAGTACAATTTTATAATTTAAAATAGTTCGTTGGTAACGTTAATAACTGAACAGTGTGCAATTTATAAACACCTAAGGAATGGTATCTGTATATTATCTTCATAAAGGCTGCATATTTACAACTAAAATTATATTTACTGCAAAAGTTCCAAAAGCATGTTTTTGTATAAACTTTAGAAGGTTTGAGTAATCCTTGACAGCCTGGAGATTCATTCTTTAATTCCAGAGTCTGCTCGTCCTATTAAGAGCAACGTATCATCAGATATATATTTTTAATTTATACATTATAAAATGGACAAAGTCCGACAATTATTTAAGACATTTTTTATGTTTATACGTTCTTTTTATAGATAAAAATATTTAAGTAAATGCTCTGTTTATAATAAACAGTATTAAACAACATTTATCGGCCTGAATGTCCAAGAAATTTTCTTAGAAAATATGCGTCCTCCGATAGTTACGTTATCAGGCAAACGTCATACCAACTGTTCCATTGGGTCTCGGTGACGATGGGGCAGCGAATCAGACTCGATATAGCGCCGCTCGATTACATATTCCGTGGTGGAACTCATTCGAGTTTCTCTTTACCCATAGGACTGTGCCTTCACGAGCCACGACTACTATCACCAAGCCGCTCCATCCAGAGCATTAGAAGCAGGTTCAAGAAAGGATATACAAATGATAGAAATTATTATGAGGATTTAAGATAATCATAATTAATTCATCGAGTCTAGAAGAAACCTCAACAGAATGCAGATATATATATATATATATATATATATATATATATATATATATATATATATATATATATATATTTAAAGATATTTTTGTAGGTACAAAATTTAATGATCGAAATAAAAGTATAAAATTTAATATTACAAGACATATTAAAACAATATTAAATAATAAAAAAAAACTCAACAACAAGGGGTGGGGAAGCAACCGGTTTCGCTCCCGCTCTTCAGGCTTCCACGGGACATTCAAAATTAAAACAGAGAAATGTACAATAAGAATAAGAATAGGTGGAAAAGGTTATATATATATATAAGGATTGGCGCTTTCGTTTGCGATTAGTGTTTCCGTTCATTTGCATGCAAGATCTGAGATCGTCTTCTCTCTTGAGAATTTTTGCTGCTGTTGAATAACCGATTCCGTACTTTTTGGCTGCAGCGGCCAGTTTGAGTTTCTTCACTTTGACATCGTCGATGAGCTCCAACTGTTCAGAAATGCTCAGAGTTTTTCGTTGAGACGCCGACGCCGACATCACTAATCGCAATGATCGCAAGCAAACTGTTTTCACTGGCAAAATTAATAAACAGACAAACTTCTGACTCAACAGAACAGTGGGTAAAGTGAAAGTGCTGTCCAGTAAATGCAAACTCGGCAAAAAAGCGGGCGGCGCTACCCTTTTTAGACACATAAAGCAAAATCACAAGGTAGAGGGTGTCTCCTACAGACACAGATTGGACTAGTCAAGATTAAGTCATTGAACTTCACTTTCTCTCTAACTGACTTCTGTTTGACCGATTTACGACATCACACTGTCACTCAAAACGAACTCTTATATCGGGGAGGACGGGACCAGAGAAAATCTCTCATATCCGGGTTATACTGTATAACTTTACTGATCAGGAACAATAATAGCATTCAATATAACTGAAATACATTATTTTTAAAATAAAAGAAAAAGACTGATCAATGACATTTTTATGATATCGTCAATTCTTTTCGGTGCCGACAACTTTTTCGGATAAAAATACTTTGAGTTTGTTTGATCGATTGTGTATCCCCCCACCCAAAATGGATGTGTTTAAAATGCATTATTAGTCCAAACAGTATTTTTTTTTAAAGTTTTAAAAAACAGTATTGCTTCACAGAATAAATCGACAGAGAGTGAATGTCAATATATATATATATATATATATATATATATATATAGATAGATAGATAGATAGATAGATAGATAGATAATATTAGTGGTAAATATACAGACATATGCAAAATATATAAATACCCATACATATATATTTTTTGAATAAAAAAATTCGAAGAGGATAGAATCCAGGTAGAACTCAATGTCCAGGACAGAGTAAGGATATAATAAAAAGGCTTAAACACTAATATTCCATGGTCGTAATTTATTCCATTGGAATCGTAAATACGATCCAATTCATCAGACCTACAAATTCAAAAAGAAAACAGAAAAAAAAACACTCCGGAAATAAAAACAGAATTTAGAGAGAGTGTAAGTATGAGGGGGAGGGAGATTAAACCTTAACAAAGAGAATTTTAGGAGAGGTGGGTGGAAGGGGTTTAAGTAAGAGAAATATGAATGTTGTCGGATGTCTAATGCATAAAGATACATTTCGTGGTGACATACACACACCATAGACGATCTAATGTAGAACACTCCACTAATATATATATATATATATATATATATATATATATATATATATATATATATATATATAGAAGTATATAATTGGTATATACGGAATGAATTCCAATAACCAACAATTACTATTCTTAAAAAAAGAGTGCTCAATACAAAGTAGAGCAGATATAATTATTATTTATAAAAAATTATAACATACTTATGTTATAATTGTTTTACAAATAATAATTATATATATATATATATATATATATATATATATATATATATATATATATATATATATATATATATATATATATAGTGGGGGAGTGTTTAAGAAGCATGTCAGTGTTTCGTGATTGTTAGTACTATCCAAAAGTTTTCATCGATGGCTTCCAGCTGAACAAAATTCAAACCCTTAAATTTTACCGGATATATTGATGTTGACTAAATAAATATGGACGACGAAATCTTTTCTTCCTTTTAAATAAACTGTGACAGTTGCATTAAGCTATTTCAACAGTAAAGGGGTGGGGCCTACATGCCAATCTTGCAGCACGCTTGAATCCATGCAGTCGGGGCACAAGAGAAAAAATCAGAGCAGTTTCCATGAAAATATTTGCGGAAAAGACAAGGGGAAGCCACGTCACGTCGGTGAGAAAGGGACTAAAGTTGAAATGCCTTGTCGGGATCGTTTATATTAGATATTTCCCTCCGACATTTCTAATTCATTTTTATGTTTCTTCTTTTTTCATTCTCTCTCTCCCACTCTCTCTCTCTCATTCTCATTCTCACTCTCTCTTTCACTCTCTCTCTCTCATTCTTTCTCTCACTTTCTCTCTTTCACTCTCTCTTCAACTCTCTCACTCACTCATTCGCGTCTATTCTTATTTTCCTCTCGCTTTTCCCCCTGCGTTATATTTTTCTATTTACCTCTTGCTCAAAATTCTCCTCTTATCTTGTTTCTCTCTCTGTCCCTCCCTTCCTCCATCTCTTTCACTTACTTTCTCTCATTCTCTCTCTCTCTCTCTCTCTCTCTCTCTCTCTCTCACTCACTCACTCATTCGCTTCTCATCTTATTTTCCTCTCGCTTTTCCTCCTCCGTTATATTTTTCCCTTTGCCTCTCGCTCAACATTCTCCTCTTACCTTGTTTCTCTCTCTGTCGCTCTCTCCATCTCTATCACTTATTCTCTCTCTCTCATTCTCTCTCTCTCATTCTCTCTCTCTCATTCTCTCTCTCTCTCTCTCTCTCACTCGCTTCTCATCTTATTTTCCACCCGCTTTTCCTCCTCTGTTTTATTTTTCTCTTTGCTTCTCACTCCTCTCTTCTTGTTTCTCACTCACCCACTCCCTCTCTCTCACTCACTCTCTCTCACTCACCCCCTCTCTCTCACTCACTCCTCTCTCACTCACTATATCACTCTATCTCTCTCTCTCACTAAATTATTCTTGTACATTCACTTCCTTGAAATAAATTTCCCCGAAATGATTTAACAAGGACACTATAGATTAAATAACACGTTTTTACACATACACATAAATATATCACCACTAACCACCCATACACCACCACCCCCTCCCCCACACGCACGCAAACAAACACTACAGTAAATACCATTTTCTTCGTCCGCGTTGTTTCCATAACAACTAAGCGGTCTGCATGATCCACCAACAATCGACACACAAAAGTCCGCCATTTTCATTGTCGTTGGAGTTATTTGGTTCACTTGCTTTTGGTAATAGACAGATAAAATAAATGTGATTCCGAGTATATGGAAATCGAGGTGGGGGAGGTCTTGGATAGAAATAATTATAATAATATTGCGATGGATTTAGAGTATCTCGAGCTGAGATGGAAGTGGAGAAACGCATGAAATGGTAACACTACGGATAAAAGACAATGGGCAAATAGTGGCATAGTGGTTATTGTAAGCGAGCTGGGTTTGTTTGGGGACCTTCAAAGGAGTATTCAACATCTGAAGGTAGATCCCACATACCCACTTTATATCTATCTACCTATCTATCTATTTAGCTAGGTATCTAAATCCCATTCTCTTTATCTATCTAGGTATGTACCTATCAACCTCACTCTGTTCATATCTATCTATCTATCTATCCATCCATCTATCTATCTATCTATCTATCTGTCCGTTCATTATCCATCATATCCCAGTCTGTTATTATATCTATATATGTATGTATGCATATTTTGTTATCTATCTATCTATCCATCTATCTATCTATCCATCTATCTATCTATCTCCAGTCTGTTCATTATCTATCCTATCTATCTATCCATCTATCTATCTATCTATCTATCTATCTATCTATCTATCTATCTCAGTTCATTATCTATCTATCTATCTATTCATCTATCTATCTATCTATCTATCTATGCCTGTTCATATATATCTATATCTATCTATCTATCTCAGTCTGTTCATTATCTATCTATCTATCTCAGTCTGTTCATTATCTATCTACCTATATGTATGTATGCATATTTTGTTATCTATCTATCTATCTATCTATCTATCTATCTATCTATCTATCTATCTCAGTCTGTTCATTATCTATCTATCTATCTATCTATCTATCTATCTATCTATCTATCTGTTCATTATCTATCTATCTATCTATATTATGCCTGTTCATATCTATCTATCTATCTATCTAAATCTAGAAATCTATTATATCTATCTATCTCTGTTCATTATCTATCTATCTATCCATCTATCTATCTATCTATCTATCTATCTATCTATCCATGCCTGTTTATCTAGGAATCTATATATCTATCTATCTATCTCAGTCTGTTCATTATATCTATCTATCTCAGTCTGTTCATTATCCATCTACCTATATGTATGTATGCATAGTTATCTATCTATCGATCTATCTATCTATCTATCCAAATCCATCTATCTATCTATCTCAGTCTGTTCATTATCCTATCTATCTATCTATCTATCTAATCTATCTATCTATCTATCTCAGTCTGTTCATTATCTATCTATCAATGAATGCCTGTTCATAATCTATCTATTATCTATCTATCTATCTAATCTATCTATCCAGTCTGTTCATTATCTATCTATCTATCATATATCTATCTATCCAATCTAGTTCATTATCCATCCATCTATCTATTATCCATCTATCTATATATCTCAGTCTGTTCATTATCTATCCATCCATCTATCTATCTAATCTCAGTCTGTTCATTATCCATCTATCTAATCAACATCCATCCATGCCAAATCCATCCATCTATCTATCTATCCATCCATCTATCCATTATGTTAATCTATCTATCCATTCGAAGGTCTGTCCATTATCCATCCATCTATCCATCCATCTATCTATCCATCTCAGTCTGTTCATTATCCATCCATCCATCCATCCATCTATCTATCCATCCATCCATCTATCCATCCCAGTCTGTTCATTATCCATCCTATCTATCTATCCATCCATCCATCCATCCATCCATCTCAGTCCGTTCATCCATCTATCCATCTATCAATCCATCCATCGAATATCTCATGTTCATTATCCATCCATCCATCTATCCATCTATATCTATCTATCCATCTATCTATCTCACATTATCATCTGAATCTATGATCCTATCTATCTATCTATCTATCTATCTAGTGATCTATCTCAGTCTGTTCATTATCATCTAATCTATCTATCTATCTATCTATCTATCTATCTATCTATCTCAGTCTGACATCATCTATCTATCTCAATTATCTATCTATCTATCTATCTATCTATCTATCTATCTATCTATCTATCTCAGTCTGTTCATTATCTATCTATCTATCTATCTATCTATCTATCTATCTATCTATCTCAGTCTGTTCATTATCTATCCATCCATTATCTATCTATCTATCTATCTATCTATCTATCTATCTATCTATCTCAGTCTGTTCATTATCTATCTATCTATCTATTCATCTATCTATCTATCTATCTATCTATCTATCTATCTCAGTCTGTTCATTATTATCTATCTATCTATCTATCTATTCATCTATCTATCTATCTATCTAATCTAAATAGAAAGTTTATCTCACTGGTTTTATCCTGCTTGCTCGGCAACTATTGCTTACAGGAATCACTTCTTTCGATTGTACCAGGGTGACAAGTCCGATTGCAAAAGATGTCTCTTTGTCACTGCTCGTAACGAAGGCAAGCGTTTCCTCAATGAAGCCAAATTACTGTTTGCTGACAGAATGAATCAGCATATAGTATCTAGCAAATTCGGTTCAAGAGATTATTAGCGGCTCTGCAAGAGTGTGCTGAACAACAGCAAATCTTCAATCCCACCTTTATTTAACCAATTCGAAGGTCTGACATCTACAGCTAATAAGGCTGAAAGCTTTGCTCGGAAATTCTCACCCAACTCAACATTCGAATCATCTGGAATACATATACCGGATTTCACCCTGGAACTGATGCTCTACTGAGTGATATACGCATAACCCCGTCACTGGTCTCGGACATCATTTCTAAATTAGACCCCCATACGGCAAGTGGAGATGGAATACCAGCTGTTGTCCTTAAGAAAGGTGCTGCTGAGCTGGCTCCAGTTCTCGCCAAACTATACAGTTATTGCCTCAATGCTTTCTGCTTTCCAGCTTGTTGGAAAGCCTTGTCTGTAATCCCTGTTTTTAAGAACACTGGAGAACCTATTGCCACACTAACTACCACCCTATCAGTCTCCAACTGCTTTTCGGAAAAGTCTTTGAGGCTTTAATCAATTCTGAAGTCGTTAAGAACCTTACCTCTCAAGACCTACTCTCGAAAAAAAATATGGATATATATATATATATATATATATATATATATATATATATATATATATATATATATATACAGGGTAGCAAAAGTATTTAACACGTTGGTTTTTCTTACATATCTAAAAAAATAACAGATCAATTTCAACGAAACTTATAGGAAATATTTAAACGAACATTGTCGATCAAAACATAGAAGGGAAATTTTGTGGAAATTATTGAAGTTACAAATTCATAAAAGAAATCCATCGAATTTAAACAAATTGAAGAAAATTTGTGAAGAAGAATGGGTCAAAATACCAACAAGTACCTGCAAGAATCTAGTTGAAGACTACGGGAAACGACTGGAGGCTGTGAAGCAGAACAGAGGCGACTGTACTAAATATTAGTAAAGTGTGTTAAATACTTTTACATATGGGTTATTTTATTTATTGTTAAATGTTTCTCAAAATTTTCCTTCTATGTTTTGATCGACAATGTTTGTTTAAATATTTCCTATAAGTTTCGTTGAAATTGATCTGTTATTTTTTGAGATATGTAAGAAAAACCAACGTGTTAAATACTTTTGCTACCCACTGTATATATAATACTCTTGATGAGAACGGCGAAGCCAGAGCTGTGACTCTAGATATCTCGAAGGTGTTTGACAGGGGTTGGTATGCTGGTCTTCTGCGTAAATCTCAGCTCTACGGTATTACAAGATGACTATTTTACTTAATTTAATCATTACTTTCAAATCATGAAGGTCGTTCTGAAAGAACACGCTTCCAGGTAGTATTTTTATGAATGCGGGGTCCCCAAGACTCTATCCTTGGTCCTACAATGATTCTGATCTTCATCAATGATCTTCCTGATGTCATCAGATCCCAAAGAGGCATTTATGCAGATGACACTACCATTTACTCCTGTCTCAGTAGTAAACCCGGCAGCACTGACAAAGTCAATCTGGCCGTTGCTCTCGAAAAGGACCTTTAATCAGTGGTTAACTGGGGTAGTTTGGTTTGGTTTATTTTGTTTTACGGCATATCAACCTCAATGGGTTATTTAACGCCGACAACATTTTTTATTGATGGTAATATTTTGTTTTGTCAAAAATCTATTTCTGGTAATATTTTTCCTTCATATTTGTATTGCTGGTAATAATTTTTTTCAAAAAAATATTGCCGGTAATAGTTAACTATTTGCCCATAGCTGGGACCCTAACAGGTGCTACCACCCCGGGTCAGGGTGGAACTGGGAACACCAGCAATTAAGAGGTGGTTCCGTGCTCCTCAAAACCTCCTGGTTAGAGGCCTTGCTGCTGGAAGTAATTTATCGTCTTACCCAGGACGCGGATGTAGTTTATCGTCTTACCCAGGACGCAGATGAAGTTTATCGTCTTACCCAGGACGCGGATGTAGTTTATTATCTTACCCAGAACGCGGATGTAGTTTATCGTCTTACCCAGGACGCGGATGTAGTTTATCGTCTTACCCAGGACGCGGATGTAGTTTATCGTCTTACCCAGAACGCGGATGTAGTTTAAAGTCTTACCCAGGACGTCAACTGGGGTAGGAAAGGGCTTTTAAATTGTAATACCTCCAAAACGAAACTAATCTAATTTAGTTACCACAGAGATAATTCTCTGTCCGACATTAGCATGGCAGATGCTGGACTCCAGGAGAGCGTCTCACTACCCATTCTTGGCCTCCCGCATTTGAATGACTTGAAGTGAAACAACTATATTGAATCAATAGCTGCATCTACTGCTAGGAAGGTTGGCTCACTGTGTCGTGCCAGAAGGTTTTTCTTGACAGTTCATCTTACATGTCTACAAATCTATCTGTCCGCGCATTGAGTACTGTTACCATATATGGTCGTGTGATTTTCATCTTGAGGTTCTTGATAAAATCTAAAGAATAATCTGCAATATAATTGATCCTGACTTGGCATCTCGACTCCAGTCACGTTCTCACAGACGTGATGTGTCTTCCCTCTGTCTTTTCTACAAATATTTTCATGGCAACCGCTCTGACGAGCTTTCTTCCCTGGTGCCCCGACTACATAAATTTAAGCATGCAACTAGACTGACATCTAGGTCCTAACCTTTTACCTTTGAGTTAAATGTAGCCCCCACTTCTACTCCAACAGTTTCTTTTCTCGCACTTTCTGCCTGTGTAATTCTCTTCCGTTTACTTGCTTCCCTGATAACTACAATCTTCAAAAATTTAAATGTAACGTCAATCATCATCTTCGGATGTCTTGATCTCCGTTCATCTTTTATCCTTTCCTCATTCTCCCTAGACACAGTTTTTTTTTTCTCCTCGCTCTCTGTAAAACCCCTACGAACCAGTGGAACTACCGCTTTGCTTGGGGTGAAATGCTTAAAAAAATAGATAGATAGATAGATAGATAGATAGATAGATAGATTATCTATCCAGATGGATAGATTATGAGCAGAATTATAGACATATATCAGGTGTAATCTTGGCTGTGCGGGTAGGGTTATGTTCTAATTCCTGTTGGGTCCATTATATTCATTTACACGCAAATCCACCAAGGGTAGGTCTGAATCCATCTCATCTCTCCCTCAGTTATGGGTTAATTAGTAAGTCTTGTATCACTAAACCATTATTATCTTCAAAAATATAATAAAAATTGCGTTCAAAAATATTAAGATTTCGGCATTAAATAAAGGTTGCTATGCCTTTAAATAAAGCCAACCAACCAATGGTCTAATGTTACCCAGGGTATCGGGCAATCATTGTACTCCCGTGACCCTTTTTCTGATGCTATTTTTCTCAGAATAATTGTAAATTAACGGCTTCTTCTTCCTTGCCGGATTATCAAATTGAATTCATCACCCTCCGTGAGTTAAGTGCTTTAGGAGAGACGGTGGAGTAGTTGATAAGCGGCTCGGATTGAAGAATCGGAGCGCTGAGTTCGAATTTAAGTACTCTATTGAACACACATGGCACAGTGGATAAAGGCGTCAGTTAGATCCAGTGACAGGACCCAAAGAGTGTGAGTTCAATACCCGTTTAAGGCAGTGGATAACTTTCAGAGGGGAATTAACAGGAGATAATTGATAACTGACATCCATTAGACATGGGAAGTGGAACTAGAACAGTCTACCTCAGTGAGCGAAATAAAGGGTTCAGTTCGACATTCCAACCACCTGAAGAAGGCCGGAGCGTACAACAGCCTAAACGCTGTTATCAGACCTTTACAGCCTGTTAATTCACCTCTCCAAGGACACATGGCACAGTGGATAAAGGCGTTAGTTAGATCCAGTGACAGGACCCAAAGAGTGTGAGTTCAATACCCGGTTAAGGTAGTGGATAAATTTCAGAGGGGAATTAACAGGAGATTACTTTTTAAGCGTTACGCCCCGAGCAAGGCGTGAAGCCACTAGGATGCAGGGGGTTGCAGAAGATTTTGAGCAAGAGAAGATAGGAGTGATAGAAGAAAGGATGAGGAGAAGGATAGTGGATAGATCAAGGCAACTGGAGATGTCGATTGACATTACATTTGAATAGTTGGAGATTATAGCTCTCAGGGAAACAGTAATTGGGAAGGGTGTTGCACAAGCGAGAGGTGCGAGTTATGAAGCTATTGGAGTAGAAGAGACGGCTACATTTAAAAGTTTCTACAGTGTAAGGGTGAGAGCGGGATGCCAGCCTCGTAGGGCGCTTGAATTCATGGAGTCTGGGAACCAGTGAAAGCAGCTCCTCGGAGCAATTACCATGAAAGTATTTGTAGAAAAGACAGAGAGAGGCGTCTGTGAGAGAGTGGCTGTAGACGAGATGACAGATCAGGGCCAATTATAAATAACTGATAACTGACATCCATTAAACATGGCACGTAGAACTAGAACAGTCTTCCCCAGTGAGCGAAATAAAGGGTTCAGTTCGACATTACAACCACCTGAAGAAGGCCGGAGCGTACAACGGCCGAAACGTTGTAATAAATATGGCGACAAAGATGAGGACAATAGTCCGAATAAAATAAATAATGTCACATTTTCTTATAATTCCAGCTTGTGTGATGGCATTTCGGGAGGATTCAATGAGTCCAGGAACTCTATTGGATAATTAACTGCCTGTCTGTCTAACCAGTGTCAATGGAAAAGTACTTCATGCTTTCTTTTGGAATTTCTTGGAGAAGTTTCCAATTGATGTTTTCCGAATAATGTAAATAGTATACATAATACCTCATCTCAGAAATATAGACAGATACTGAAGGGCCGAAACGTTGTAATAAATATGGCGACAAAGATGAGGACAATAGTCAGAATAATGTAAATAGTATACATAATACCTCATCTCAGAAATATAGACAGATACTGAAGGGCCGAAACGTTGTAATAAATATGGCGACAAAGATGAGGCCAATAGTCCGAATAATGTAAATAGAAATGTGTGGAGCTAACACGCGTGGGCGTGATCCCATCAGGACAATATAAAAATTACAATATTTTCAAACTACCTCAGAACAGTTCACTTGCTCGGTAAGATGAATACAACTGTGTCTCACTGCAGCCCGCTCCTCTGGCCGCTGAACGAATAGTATAAAATTACACCTCTCAACTTGATAATGTTTTTAAAGCCACGTGACCACTGACACTACTTTACAATTCGCAGAGAATTTAAAAAAAAAACAAAACACGACAATTCAATTTTTGATTTAAGATATTTCCACAAGTTCCTGTGTTGCAAAATGAAAAGTAAATAAAAACTTCTTTAATTTATAGCACCCGTGTTAATCTTTTTCTTTTTTTTTAATTAACATACACTACAGAGCCATTGGGGTAAACTGCATGAATGAAAAAAGATCTAGAAGAATGGTCATTCAAGACAACATTCATTTAGAAATTTGATAAGAAAAAAGCAATCACTTCAAAACTTTCAGTATCACAACCTTTCAATCTTTGAAAAAGACCATCATATCAAAACTGTATCAACAGACCGAGTTTCATTCTTATCTAAAGCTTGGTATACTTTTCCCACAATAACTGTTAATACATCAGCAGTGGACCGAAAGAAGCGAAAACCATATTGCTTATCTAAAAGAAGGCCCAGCGAGGTGGAAGACTTAACCAGTTCAGTGTTGATTAGAGCTCTTAGTACTTTACCAAAAAGAGATAGAATGCTAATAGGGTGACAGTTAGAAGGACCAGACGGCTCACCTGAGATCTCACTGATTATAATTACAGAAGACAATTTCCAACAAACAGGAAAGCAATAAGTAGCATGGCATTTATTGTAACATTTGGAGAAAACAAGAGCCAGGTGAGGAGCACATGTTCTAAGGACTATTGCAGGGATACCATCAAGTCTATATGCTTTGTGGAGATCCAGTTTCGATATGATAGCTGAAACAGTGGATGGATTTATATGCATATCACTCAATACAGACTCAATTCTAAGTCAGGCAAAGATACTCCGGATGTCAAGAAGAGAATTGGAAGAGAATTTACAAGCAAAACATTCCGTTTTATCAGCAGAAGATGTTAAAACCTCAAATCGAGTGAGGAGAGAAGGGATAGATTTACTCTTATTTAACAGACAATTAAAGTGCCATCAGTATTCATAACGACCAAACCTGTTAGAGGATTTACGGGGCCCTCATTATATCAGTAAACTAAGATATAGCCTCTTTGGGGACACGTTTACAATTATCACAAGCGGAAATAAAGAAGCATTTGTTGTATATGCGTATGGCCATATCTGTTCATATAAATAGTTGCCAGCTTCCACCGTCGAAAAAAGGAGAATTGAAAGTAAGAAGACCGTGTAGCACCAAATTGAATCATAGGGATTAAACATCAATAAGCCCGTTTCCCTAATTGGGAAAACTCTCCAACAAATATATATATTTCATCACAATCTTTTTCTTGAAACTGCATTTAATTCAGTGATCCATATTAATAAAATAAAAAGGACATTATACAGTGAAACTTTCAGATCAAAATTTAGCTAATAACTATAGGTCCACTTATACATCTATATATCTCGTTTTATTCAAGTTCTATCTATCTATCTATCTATCTATCTATCTATCTATCTATCTATCTATCTCAGCCTGTTCATATCTATCTATCTATCTATCTATCTATCTAAGGCAATTCATTATCTGCCTATAAGCCTATTCATTATCTATTATCTATCTATCTATCTATCTATCTATCTATCTATATATATATAAATATATATATATATATATATATATATATATATATATATATATATATATAATTATGTTACCTATCTGTCTGACTATCTAAGACAATTCATTATCTGTTTATAAGCCTATTCATTATCTATGCATATATATATATATATATATATATATATATATATATATATATAAATGCAAATAATTGCATTTAAGGATTTTTGGTTTGTTTTTTCAAATTTTTCTTCATTCTGTCGGATCTATATCCATTTACATTTTGCATATATATATATATATATATATATATATATATATATATATATATATATATATATATATATATGTACCATTATGTTACCTATATCTATCTATCTATTCTGTCTGTTCATTATCTATCTCACTCTATAATATCTAACACTATTTATTATATCTCTCTCTCATTATATATATATATATATATATATATATATATATATGTGTGTGTGTGTGTGTATGTATGTATGTATATATATCGGTATGTTACCTATCTGCCTATCAAAGACTATTCATTATATATCTATCTGTCTGTCTGTTCATTATCTATCTAGCTATCTCAGTCTGTTCATATCTATCTAACACTATTCATTATCAATCTATCTATTCATTATTCTCTCTCTCTCTCTCTCTCTCTCTATATATATATATATATATATATATATATATATATATATATATATATATATATATATATATATCTATCTATTCATCTATCTATCTCAGAGTATTCTTCCACTATGTCAGGAGCAGAATGGATTAAGCTGTAATCATAATCAACCGCCCATTAATTTCTCCCCTTAATTCCTTTCTAATCCTACCTACCCACTGACTCCCATCGGATTGTCATCCCTGCCTATGCCTTCATCTTGGACTTACCTCGAGAGCCTGTCCATAATTATCTTTTAATTAGGGTTGGTGATGTCGTCACTTTGATCGCCTTGATAGTCGCGTCAAAATATTCCTTGCCAGTTTCCATAGTAATTTGCGCAACGACACACCTGACTTTTTTCTGATGTCCTCAGTGGCCTTGCGAACGGAACGAAATCAAATCAAATGGAATAATAGGCAGATAAGTATTATCGATATATTGTTATATAACGAGCAAGGGAGCCTGGCGATGTCAGGGAAATCGTTGAGATTTATTTTTCCGACTAAGATAGATAGATAGATAAGAACAGACTGAGATAGATAGATAGATAGATAGATAGATACGAACAGACTGAAATAGATAGATACGAACAGACTGAAATAGATAGATAGATAGATAGATTTGAACAGACAGATATCTATCTCTATATATTGACTTTGTATCACTCGCTTTATCTCTGTCTCTTTTCGTCTCTTTACCTTATCTGTCTGTTTCTATCTATCTATCTATCTATCTATCTATCTATCTATCTATTTCAGTCTGTTCGTATCTATATATCTATCTATTTCAGTCTGTTCGTATCTATCTATCTATCTATCTATCTATCTATCTATCTATCTATCTATCTATTTCAATCTGTTTGTATCTATCTATCTATCTATCTATTTCAGTCTGTTCGTATCAATCTATCTATCTATCTATCTATCTATCTATCTATCTATCTATCTATCAGTCTGTTCAAATCTATCTATCTATCTTAGTCGGACAAATAAATCTCAACGATTTCCCTGACATCGCCAGGCTCCCTTGCTCGTTATATAACAATATATCGATAATACTAATCTGCCTATTATTCCATTTGATTTGATTTCTTTGTATCTCTTCCGTCTTGTGTATGACTGTAAAAAAACTAGATCCGCGTCCTGGGTAAGACGATAAACTACGTCCAACAGCAAGGCCTCTGATCAGGAGGTTTTGAGTAGCGTGGAACCACCTCAATTGCTGATATTCCCAGGTCCACCCTGACCCGTGGTGGTAGCACCTGTTAGGGTCCCAGCTATGGGCAAATAGTTAACCCCGAAACTGGGGTAAAACACTATGAAAGTGTAAAAATATGTATAAAGTATTATCAGCAATACATTTTTGAAGGAAAAATATTACCAGAAATAGATTTTTGACAAAAAAAACTATTACCAGCAATAAAAACTGTCGGCGTTAAATAACCCATTGAGGTGTTGATATGCCGTAAAACAAACCAAATCAAACCAATATATACTGAGATAGATAGATAGATAGATAGATAGATAGATAGATAAAAATATTACCATCAATAAAAATGTTGTCTGCATTAAATAACCCATTGA